GCTGCAGGAAGAGCCCCACCGCTCCTGAACTTCCCAAACCCTTTGCAATCTCTTACATTAAACGCTGTGAATTTTGAAAGCTGGAGCTGCCGGGGTTGCCATGGTTTCCCTTGCCCTGAAGAGTGGCTCCGGAGGCCAGATCGGCAAAGCAGGGGGAGAAGAATGGAGGACTGGGATTTTCTTCACTGCTGTGGTGGGAAAGGATGGGGAAATGGCATCCTCCTGCCTTCCCTGCTGTCTTCTCCCTCTCCCTTTCCCATCCTAATTTTATCTGTGCTTCCTCTGCAAATTCCTAACGGATCCCAGCTGCTGGGCCGGGCTGGGGATGCTGCTTTTCCGGGCGGGAGGATTTCAGGGGGATGGGGCTGGGCATCTCACAGGGAGCCCGGAGCAGGGAGGAAGAGTGGCGGAAAGCCTTGGCGAGGAGAGAGGAAGGGAGCGGAGGAAGAGGAGGGTGGGGAGGAAGGATGGAGGGGCTCTGCCCTCCTTGCAGCTGCAGGAGAGGTGGTGAGCCCCACAAGCCGAAAAGCAGGGAGAACGAAGCTCCCCCCAGCCTTGGCCGGCTCCTTCCCCAGCTCTGGCTCCGTCCCAGTTGCTGGAAGTGGGACGAGACACGATCCTCTCCCTGCTGGGGCCCCGTGTCTGCCCAGAGCTAATAAAGCGAATCGCTGGTGCTTAATGAAGAAGCACCTGCTTAATTGAACGCAGCGGGACGGAGCTCGGCATGGCCGGGCAATGGGACAGGGTCAGCAGCGCTGCCCCCAGGGCGCCCAGCCCAGGGGACCGCATCTTCAGCAGCAGCGGGGCTGGATTTCATCGTGGGGTTTTGGGAAAACCAGGCTCTCGCCCCCTTCGAGCAAACCTCGGGCTGCCCTGACCCTCCGCTGCTTCGTCCCTGCATGGGGGCTCGGGGCAGGGGACGGGGCTGAAGCAGTTAACGGGATGAGCGAGATGGGAACTCCGACAACTCCCTGAAACGATGATGTTTAGATTAGCTGGGTTTCCAGGCATCGAGCTGTCAAAGCAAGAGGGCTGGGAGGGACGCCGGGGCTTGCCCTTAATTGGAGATGTGGCTCTGAAGCCGCCCCATCGCTCCGGCGTTCTCTGGGCTCTGGCGTGCATCCCTGCAGCAGCTTCCTGCCCCGGGGCCTTCGGCTTGTCCCTCTATGAGGCCACCCCATCCCAATCAGCAGCATGATGGGAATTTGTTGCAGTTGATGTTACTACCAGGCGACTCGGTGGCTGCTGGATTGGGGCAAGGGGCTCTGGTTCTTAATGGGGTGCAGCTCGGGGACGTGGAGGGGGACCCCAGGATGGCACAGCGATTCAAAGCTGGTGGTGACCTCCTTGGATCTTCCCTTGGCCAGCATCGCCTTGCTGAGGGGTCCTTCAGGGTAGGGGGAGGGCAGGATCCTGTCCCCATGGCTGGATGTGACCCGCTGGGTCCCTTGGGAGCCCCGCTGCAGCTCAGCCCCATCCGAGGCACCGGGCAGGGAGATCCCCATCACCACGCTGCCGGTGGTGCTGCCTCCCATCTGCCTGCAGCCACGTTCCCTTGGCTCCGTCAGAAAGGCTTGAATAACCCTTTTAATTTCAGGAGTTAAATTTTAATGGCCTAAATACCGCACTTCATTATCGCCGCCACGTGCCTGCGCCGACAGCTGCCCAACCTCTCAGCGATGTGGTGCGGTGATGCTCTCCCGGGAATGCCTACTCCCCTCCTCTCGCACACCAGAAGGTCCTCGGGGACTTGCTGGTTCTCCGTGGGCAAGGAAATGGGAAAAAGGATGCGTGTCACACAAAGGGATGCAGGGAGAGCCCCGGGGGAGAGGCATCTCGCTGGGGTGATGCTTTGGGGGGGATTAGCTGACTCCTTCCATTGTCACATCAAAGTGTGGGCAGGGGGGTGGATGGATGGAGGGATGAGCCTTGGCCAGCCCCATTTGGAACTGGGGCTTTAAGTCTTAGAGCTCTGTGTGTATATATATATACACACACATTTATGGGGTGTATACATCTGGGTGATATATATATATTTATGGGGTGTATGTGTCAGGGGTACATATCTGGGGTATGGCTCCTGCTCACTGTCCCCTCTGCCCCATCCCCTTCCACAGCCACCCCTCTGGCATCTCGGCTGCCGCCCGGTTAGTTTGAAGCCACCTGTCCCCTGTACAGCCCTGTCGCTGCCTCCTCCCATCCAGCCTCGCGTTCCCCTCGTGCCATCGAAGCCTCCCATGGGATCGGCTCCGGGGGACCCCTCCCATCCCACCAGCAGCCGCCCAGCGCTGGCAGTTGGGCGCAGCTGCTGGCTGGGTTCCCGGGGGGGGCCCAGGGCGCGCGCA